CAGCAAATTCACGAAAATCTTGCCTACAAAAATAACAGGACAAATCCGAAATTAGTTTTCTTAAACATGTATCTCCCAACAAAACGTGACGCATGCAGGATTGGGTTACTTACAGAATTTTATCGCTTAAGAAGCCCTGATATTCTAGTTCCAAACATTCAGGAACATCCCAGTGGAATAGAGTTACGCAGGGCTCTATGCCTGCATACATGTAGCTCTTTCTTCATCTGTTTCTTTAAATCTCGTTGGCAGAATTACAGTGTGATTAATCTTAAAGATATGTGTTTTGCAAATGACATTGAAAGCCCATCTATATGCGCAGAGACAAAAATGAATTTTTAGGAAGCTATTTTGTGAAGATATCTGGCACTTAAGTGGACGAAGCAATAATGGAAGAGAACTTGTACTCCTAGACACGGAGAAAAGGAAGGATTTGATGACACCACCAACAAGAAATTGTGCTGGTGAGTTCGACAAAAACTAGGTTAGCCAGTGGTGTAATGGTGGAATGTTTTATCTCAGGTTTCGGTTTCCGTTTTTCGGTTGTAGTGGAACAAGTAGTTAGTTTTACATGTTTTGAAACTGATACAATATTGAATTATTTTATCTAAATTTTAGTTCTTAAGTGGCTGAACATGTTATTGACTTTTTAGATAATATTGTTTAACATGGTACGAGGTGCTTCAATCTTATATTGTAGTATACAAAAGTTATAAATTCAAGTCTCCCTACCATCTTTTTTATAAAATTTGTACATATGTCAAAACTTTTGCTGGAAAAAAAAAAATTTAATTAATTAATCTATGTGCATAAGGAGATCATGAAAATAAAAGCTTTATAAATAAATTTACTCTGGTTATCTAATAGTTTAAACCTTAAAAGGAGACAGTTACGAGGCTAGAAATGATTTCTAAAGCATGTCAAGTTCTTGAACTTTCATCTGTGAATTAAGTGAATAAAAATGAACACGAATGGCTAAAGAAACAATAAACACAATAATTAAATGTATAATTTACTCTTACCTGCTGCCAAGAGTATATCTATGAGATCATTATAGTACTTAATTCCTTCTTTGCATATGCCTTTACATATTCTACCTCCTCAAAATACAAATATAAAACACAAAAATATATAAAAACATTAGCGAGAACTTCATTGGATATTAAAAACTAAATGATACACAAATTTTAGATCATTCATGGTGCAATAATAAAATATATTAGCTCCTTGAGGTACCTGGCAAGATTCTAGTCCATGCAATTGAAAATCTGTAAGAATCTAAGCCCACTTTCTTCATCAAATCCACATCATCCTGTAATGTAAAAGAGGAGTAATATGTGCCCCTCATTGTTAAGGTTAATTTAAAATTAACTGGATCATGACATATTGATATACACATGCCAGATGTAGAGTGTGAAAATGAATTTTATCCACTATTTCTAGTTATTTAAAAAATATCCACTTCTGTTAAGTCAATAATAATGCTATGCAGCACAACTAGTGCTAAGAACCAATCTTTAGCATCATCAATCAATAGGACATTTTAAATATAGAAATCAAGGTTTCAATTGAACTTTCTTTAAACACTTTATGTTTTCCCCTCGGCACAAATTTCAAACCATCTAAATATCCTTATTGAAGTTGACGATAGTTTTTCATATATTTGACACTTAAACACGCGTTTAGTTTTGTTAAAGAGGTTAATAAAAATTTATCAAAATCAACAATTAACTTTTAGCCACCTAGTTTATCGAATTCACATTTATCAACTTTTAAATCACATATTACATCCGTTATTATCAAAAACCTATTAAAAATCTAGGGCGTGTTCGGTAGAGATTAAAATTGAAAAATTAGTCGTTATTGACTTTTATTAGACGGGTGGGACCCAATAACGGTCATATTTTCAATTTTAATTGGATTTTAAGCTATACCGAACATGCCCCTAATTTTAAACAAAACCAAATAGGTTCTCCGATCTCCTTGTCAACATTTTAATTAAAGTGCACCACAGTCATATGCACTAATGAATGACCATATTTCAATTTGACCAAAGAGAATTGTATTGTTCAACAACTTCTATACTAAAGTTGAAGTATACCTTCAACAAATTATACTGATCAATAGCAGTACACCCATTGCTTCCATCGTCAATTCCAGCTGCCACTCCAAGAAACATGTTCAGCAAAGGTTATTCAAAACATACAGAAATATGTACACACACTGAGGAGTAAAGATAGAGAACAGACCAGGCTCGGACATTGTGAAAACATCCCAATTACTCCTGCCCTTACCCTGTACGTTCCAAGCACCTTCAACCTGCATAAATATATATGTGTATATATAAGTTCATCATAATTCAAGAATTTAAATTTGCTTTTAATAATGAAATTAAACAAATATTTGCATGCAAGCAATATGAGACCTGATAAGCCGACGTTGCAGCGCCAAATACAAAATCCTTGGGAAAATCAGAGCGCTTGATTGTAGGGATTATAATACCGCCGCTATCAGAACGAAACATAGAATGGTTGCCAGTAATCATCAGGAGGTGGTTGTTGCTGGACATTGCGAGTCTTACTAATGAAAATTAAGGGCACTTAGGAGGAGTGTAAATTCGACCATTTATAGGGAAATTCTAAGTACTATGCACGCAAGACTTGAAAACGTCACAAGAAAGCAAGCTTGCCATAATTAGAAAAAGGGTCTAATACCTAGTGGAAATATTTCACTGATAAAAGTGCATCCAATGATACAATTTCCTATAGAATAATGTTATTCATAGTCGCTCACTGCCGCAGTCGTTCTATGTGACATACACATGACATGTAGTTATTTGATACATTAATGTGGTAGTTTTTTTACCACGTTAATGTATTAAATACACACTTAACATATTTGTGCCACATATGACAACTGGTGCAATGAACGACTGCAAATAGCATTATTCTTTCCCATACGTATCAAACATAACCGAATTATGTTGGATTGTGTTGCACATTGAGACCGACAAATATGTCATGCGACCATGGATCTGATTCGAGAGGCTCTTCAACGTTGAAAAAAAATTCAAATTCTAGGTGATAGAAAATTTTTAACTTATGAACTGCTACACTCGGTATTTTTGAAAATAATTATACTTTCTAGTTAAGGGTGATATGAAATCGGTCTATTTCCAACATCATATCTATGGTTAGCTCATTCGGTTCCAATTTATCATGAGATAAAAATATACAATATTCTAGAACATAATCACACTACAATAAAAGTATTTATGACATACACGTAAAAAAAATTACAATTCACGGCATAATGGCACGTTGTAAAAGTTACAATTTGCGCATAAATTCTTGGCAAGATGTAAAAGATTATCAAGATTAAATAAACGTTTTTTCTTTGTTTTTTTCACACGTAACGCATTTTTTCCCTGGGTTTTTCTTTTTTTTTCCTTTTCCTTCTTTATTTTTTATTCCCACATGTTCTTCTATTTTCCTTTTCTCTTTTTCTTTTTCTTTTTCTTCTCTTATCTTATCTTTTCTTATCTTTTCTTTTCCTTTCTTTCTTTTCTTCCCCAGAACACGTTTTCTTCCTTCTTACTGTTATTCTGTTGAACTCCTGCTCTGACTAATGGAATTGGATATAACACAGTTACTGACGTTGTATGTGAACTTGAGGGTTAATAGAAAAATATTGACATTTTATGAGGATTTTTATAGTGTCTAGGTCGAATAACGGAGATAAATTAGAATGAACGATGATAAACGTACTTTGTTTTTCTTTAAATCATCATACGTGTGAGATTTTTTTAATGATAAGAACAAAGTATAAAGGAGGAAGGGGACTAGGTCAAGACCTCCCAAAAAGGAAGAACAAATAAATTAAGACGACACCATGCTCAATTAAGATTAATTTGGAACTAAGAGAAACTGATTCAAGTCAATTAGGTGTTAATACAATGTAAAAGTAACATTATTTTTCGTTTGGTAATTCGTGTACTAGGTGAATAGTATTTGATTGTATGAATTGAAGTAATCAATGAGATGTAAGGAAAATTTATTGATGTTTTACTATATTATTTTTCGTTTGGTAATTCTTGTACTAGGTGAATAGTATTTATTAGAAAATAATTTTATGTTAAGACTAGTTTGACACACGTGCGAT